GGCAAGGTCACATTTGTTGCCTATCAGCATAATTGACATGTTCGGATTTGCGTGCTGCCTTGCATCCTCTAGCCAACTAGCCAAGTGATTAAAAGTCTCCCTCCTGAACGGTAGTAAAGGAGACAAATGAAGAAAAACTACTACAGAAGAGTCTCTTGGTTTCTCTTCGTATCTTTCTAATATGTCAAGTCCGAGTTATACCTACAGTACAGCTGAAGGATGGTAGCTCCACGTTGTTTAGAAAACAGAAATATAAGAAGATAAAAAACAAAGATGAACTGCATTAAGACCCAACACCTCAGTTACTGTGACTGCATATTACCTCGTTCATTTTCTAAAAAGTACACAGACAAGATTTACAGAATCTGTCCTCACCATCAGATGTTCAGGAGAGACCGAGAGAGATAGCGAGAGAGAGAAACTATCCATCCACAACAAAATTCTATAGATATAACCTATCAAAGTATAAGTTTACATATGGGTCACCTGTAGGGGTACTTTATTCTTTTGACCAGGTTATGGTGTTTCAGTTATAGATATGTATTTATGAACTTGGGTGGTCATAGTGGTAGGGTGAAAAAAAATTCCTTTAAACGAGCTACATTTACAGAGAGCAAAATACATGCATAAACAGCAAAGCAAACAAATCATGTCCTTATAACAAAGGGGCAGGGAGGAAGAGGTGGTACCTGGTGATATCATAAACCAAAAGTGCACCAGCAGCTCCTCTGTAGTACGACCTGGTAATGGATCTAAAAGATTCTTGACCGGCCTGTAAGTCTCAAACACAATCCAGTTTCATATACAAAACAGTGATACTCAACTTAACCAGCTTCAGAACATCCAAATAAGTTCATTCACAAATCTATCATAGCACAGGGCTTCAAGACACTTTTTAATATATTATGTGTAAGGATAGCTATAACATTATTATAGGATTCCAAAAATTCATCACAACAGAACTATTCCAAGGAACCTAACTTAAGAGGTCACCGGTTAATCGATTTCTGTTTTGTCATTTAGTCTCAGTCTGAAAAGGTCAGTATACTGCATTTGACCCACTAAATTTCCACAAACGTCCATAACCACTTTAAAATATACAAGAAACTAATTACCAAAGTCAATAAGTTTGGTTGGCCTGATTAGTCTCACTTATCATGACTATGATACAAAACTAGATTCATAAGGCGCTATCAAAAGAAGTTTCTTTCGCCAAAAAGCAAAAGGAAAAAAATTAAAACAAAGCCGAATGATTCTTAATATCTTTGCCCACTATTCCAAGTAACAGCTACGAGCCCAGCACACAGAATTATCATATCAACCATGCAAACCCGCTAACAAGCCAATGAAGCATAAACCTCCAGTTATACTTATAAATAGTAAAGAGAACCTACGGTGTCCCATATTTGAAGCTTAATGGGCTTGTTGTCAATCGTGATCATCCTTGCCCCGAATTCGACCCCAATAGTCAAGTCATGTACTGGCTGGAAACGCTTGTCAGTAAACTGAAGAAGCAAACATGATTTACCAACCCCTGCAGAACAAAAAAATAAATAAATAAATAAAAAATGAACAGACAGTTACTAAAGCACGAAACTTGACAGCTGCAACACAAAAACTATCAATGCATAATCTATGTTACCCGGACTCTTCTATTTAGGAAGAATACCAGTGTCATGTTGTGTCAACACTGGTGTGGGTATGAGTGTCGGGTGTGGTATTTTAGTCTAAAATGTTTGAAATTTCTAAACTATTGACGAGTCGGACGCTCATATCTCCACACCCGATACGCCACCCATATCCGAGTCCAGGTAGCATAGTGCTTAATGAATTCTTTTAGTTCTTGTTCCATTCACTTCAGTAAGATTTTTTATGCCTTTACCTTCAGATGGTGCTACACCATAACATCAATTCAGAAACCGAAACTTTACCCATTACAATTTATCTACAATCGACACAGCGCGCAATCAAATTAGCATCACGAGAGACGCAGATCAATACGATTTCACCGAGTTCTCTAAATAAATTTTATCCATCGATGACCCATCTCTGAAAAAAAAAGAAGCAGAAAAACAAAAACTCGAGCGGTACAAACTCCGGACATATGCAAACAGAAATCAGTCATCGGAAAACAGAATTAGAACCATTAAACGCCACGAAGAGACTAAATATACATCAACAGATCGAAAAATTGAACGGTGAAAAGAGGAGGAACCCGAGAAAAATATTACCAGTATCGCCGATGATGATGTACTTGAAGAGATAGGCGTACGACATGTTTTCCGGCAACTGTCAATAGGAATTTGGAAGAGAGAAAAGGGCTCTGATTAATTTTTTTTGGTGTGATTAATAAGGGCTTAATTTATTAATTATAAAATTTGCAGCAAATATAATTGACGATTGATTGAGATGGTTCCAGGCTTCCAGCGAAGCAAATTGAAGTTGGCAAAATAAAAGGAGTATCAATCCTCATCTCGACACATAATCGTAATCCTCCTAATATATAATTCTCGAATATTCGGAGTTTTAAACATGCATGTGTGACAAAATTTTATGTTTCATTATTTGGTTTGGATAGATTTTAATTTACTTTCAATTAAAAAATAATTAGGTTTGGATGATTTATGTTAATTATTTCTGGTCATTTAAAATATATTAATTGCATTTTAATATATTTTTTTTATTATAACCATTAAATTGTAAATGTAAATGTTACTAACCTTTGTATTTTTTATCAATTGTACATATATAATATATCAAATTAATTATCATATGATGAGTTTCGATTTGATATATATATTGTATGTATAAAATAATAAACTATAATTATATAATAATAATAAGCATATTTATTAATGTTAATTAGAAAATAAATATTTATCAATTAATATATTTATGTTCAAAGTAGTTTTTTTTCTTTTTAAAGTAGTTATAATTATATTTATGTTCGAAGTAGTTATATGGCATAAGTTCGAAAAAAATGTTTTAAAATAACACATGTAAGTAGCACAAGTAACAAATGTCATTCTAAAATATATAATAATATATATTTTTTTGTAGAAAGTATTCAAATTTTAAAACATCTCTTCTCGTTAATTTTAACAAATACTCGTGTAATACAAAAGCATTGTATTAATTAAGACATTATTATTACATGGGCCAACGATTATTTTTGGGGGTGTCTATATGTACACCCCCTCAAGTGTAAAAAAGGGGTGTACATATAGCACTTTTCTTTGTGTAATTTATTAAAAGGGGGTGTACATATAGCATTGCCCTTATTTTTCCGTCCACCTGTCCACATGCCCAATAAAATAAAATAGTAGACATCAACCACAATTAAAAGGACGGTGTACTTTAGAATAACTGAGATTATAGTTGTTAGGAGTAACGGTTTTTAGTTATAATAAGAGAATTGAGTAGATTAAGTGAACCGCTAAACACCGCCCCCTTTTCGATATTTACCGCCCCCTAAAAGACTAATTTGCCCTTTATATATTTTTTTAAAAATAATAGATGTCCCTCTTTAAACCTATT